TGTTTTTATTAAAATTTGCGTAATTATTAAATTAATTATACTCGTATAATAAGTCGGTAGTACAGAACTGACTTGATCGTAATAAAATTATGAGAAAATTGCCTATGAAAATGTGAAAACCAATTAAAAATTCACTTCCTTTGTATTCTTACATTTCATAATATAAATAGATTCGACTGTATATAAATAATATATAAATATTTCCAGGTATAAATTTAAAAATTTTATAATACTGTGTGACTACCTTTGTTTTCATTTATAATAATCTTCTTAAAATTTATAGAATAATTAAATTAATATATTTAAATTGAATGAATCAGAAATTTCAATATAGAAAATATAATTATACATAATGAATTACAAAAAAAATAATTAAATATATTATGTATACCTTGTATAATTTTGAAAATTAAATTAAATTGCTCTACAGTTTCACTACTTTTATGCAACAAAATTTAATTATATAACATACTTATAAGATGAAAAACATTCCTTTAATTTAAATTCAATTTTAAAAGTAATGAAAATAAAATGTATTTAGGCATTATTGTTAGTGTTAATGGGTTGTAGAGCAGAAATCGGCAATCTGCGGTTCTTTCGGACATTTTGTGCTGCCGACTAAATGACCGAAATATTTTTAGAAAAAAACAATAAACGTGTTTAGCTTCGAAATAACGAAATGTGGTTGGCGACAAAAATGTGTTCTAACGCAAGCAGAGTGAGAATATTATTTTAGTTACTCCCCATTATTCACCGTAGAAAGTGAAGCATTCTTTCATTTTACTAGTTTGCTAATGTATTCTCATTTGAGCATTTTGCTCATTGAACACGCTCAAATTTTGGAACTGTATACCATTTTATTAAAATAGGGTAATGAGAAGTACATGTTTTCTTTGTAATTTTTTTATGGCTAACATTTTATTTCAGGAATAATTAATAAAATACCAAAGAAAAGAAAAGCTAATGACGAAATCCAAGAATTTAATGAAAAGTGAACTTAACCTTACACAAAAGCAATATTATGCCTTGTTTGAAAAGAATCTAATAAGTTAATATTCAAAGAATTTAGTTAGTTTGTGTCGCCACGAAATGCGAAAATGAATGGATCTGAATTCTGTTTACGTTATTTCTAAATGTTCGGCCCCCCCCCCCCCCCCCCCCATTTTTATTTTGAAAATGTCCTGCCAATCGAAAAAGGTTGCCGACCTCTGTGCTAGAGTGAATATCATTAATTTTAATCTTAATTTATATGCAATATAAAAATACTATTATGGTGATAAGGAAAATTTTATTAAAGTTCATCCTTGATTTAGACAAAAAGCATGATTTTTCAATATTAAACTCGAACAACAATTAAGAAAAACTGTAATTTTTTTTATGAAATTTGAGTATTGGCAATTAAAAATTTAATTCACTTTAAATTGTAGTAGTAGAAATGTATGCCATTTCTCTATAATCATTATATAATAAAGCCTAATATTAATTCAGATTTACACTCTGAATTTTCAAAATTAGCTTTATCAATGAATTTTAGCTTGAAAGATGCAGAATACAATACCGAAATATGGCACAAATAAATTCAATACCATAGTCACTATTCCCATAAAAATACAGGGTGTCTGACAAGTTCCCATACTTTTTTTTAAATATTTTTACAGCTTAGAACTGCTACATGGATTAAGAAATCAACATTGTTAAATGGTCAGAAATCAACATTTGAACATTTACAACAAATGCTCAAAATTAGCTCCATTTGCAGTAATACATACACGGAGGCGATTTGGAAAATTGTTGACAATAGTCGCGATGGTAATTTCATCATATACTTCAATCATATAGTGACAGGACGCCCGCCAAGGGGATACTCTGACATGCTATCCAACTCCTGGTAACGTTTTATGGCATCATAAATAGTCATGTATATGTAACCAGTCGTCTTTACAATTTCAGCTGTTTTCATACCTGACCTGTGTAATTCTATAATACTAATGTACTTGTTGTCGCGATTCATTTCTAGGCTAACAAAAAACAAGGACACAGTTAACATGTACTACATGGGGTAAAATTGAACGACGAATGCAAATAATGAAACCAAATTGAAAAAAAAAAAACAGAATTATTACGAGAAAAATTAGTATTTCCAAAAGTACGGGAACTTATACCCTGTACAACGTCCGCAACATTTTAATTGGTAATTGCTATATACTCGTATTATAACTTCTATAGTAATTCAATTATATCTCAAAAATACCCAAATTTAATTTGAATTTAAATAACCTGAAATTGCAATTGTCCACGAGTTCAAATAGTGTCTCATGCAACTTATATCAAATTAATGAATCCAATTATCAAATATCGCAAAATTCTTAATTCTACTCATTATCAAATATTGCAATTCTTAATTCTATATATTGTTATACATATTTATATTACGGTTAAGTCTCGTATTCTCATGTTTTTCTCATTTACTCTTAAGAATCGAAATTTTTCCCTAAAATTAATTCCTTTATTTATTGAATTACAATTTTTTAAAGAGTACATGTGCTGCAATCTTCTACTACTACAAGTTCTGCTATTATTGTAATTATTATATTCAATATTAGCAATTCAATATTTCAATATTCACATAATATTCACATAATATAATATTATAATCGTATCGTATATAATATTGGAACGAGAAAATTATTCTAATTAAATTTTAATATATAATATTATAAAAAAAATAATAATAATGATGATCAGAAAATTTATTCTATTAAAATTATCATTATCATTATTAAAATATTACAAGAAGACAAGATTATATTTCTGTTATATTTAATATATTACGTTATACTATGTACTCGTATACAATTTATTATCAAAGCGTAATCATGTAACAAAAATTTATCCTTTTTAAATGATTGGTAAGGATATTTCTTAAAATAATAAATTTACTATTATGCATACACGATATTTGCATATTACAAATAGTATATAGCTAATATAACATTTTATATTTGATTAAATGGATATTGTATAACAGTATTAAATGTATATGTTTTATATTTTGTTTAAAAGATTTAACAAAACAAAATTTTCTTTGCATTTCTTTTTTTATTAAATCTTTATTTATAATCTAATATACGAGTATAATTTGTATATAACATTTAAGTATATAAAATTTAAATTTTACAAGATTACTATAATTATACTATATGGATATCTATGTATTAATTATAGAAGAGTTATTTTGACATAGAAAATATTTTCGATTTAAAATAAATTGGATATTATTCCAAAAAATTTCTATTGGGAATCATTATAACACAAACTATACTTCATGAACCAAACATATACACACATGTACCTCTATATATAAATATTCCTATTCTATAGTACAATAATATAATTACAAGCTCTGGCCCAAATGATCTATAAAAATAGTTTTTAATATATTTAATTATTTTTATTGTTTTTTAATGTCCATTTAATAATAGCTATAATTTTCTTTTAACAAAATTCAAACGTATGTATGTAAATAATTTTATATATGTAATGCCAAAATTTTGGCTTAAAATTAAATTAGAGTAGCCATTATTTTCTACAGAATACAAAAATTAGATGGAAACTATTTTGACTGAGGCTCTGTACACAAAATATGGGATAAGTGACGCTCAGAATTCAGGACTGAGTAGAGAAAGGGAGACAAAAATTTTGATTATATACCGTTAATTAAAATTAAACAGGTTTCTCAAAAAAAATGCTTATTATTTTTTAATATCTTTTAGCGTATTGAGAAATCACCAAATTAAAACTAAAAACCAATACGCAAATTTTTGAAAAAATTTAAACACACTTTACAGTTCCTGTATAATCCTCTCTCGAGAATAAAACCCTCGACAGTGTTACTAGTTAAACCAACGTGTGCAAGTATATCGTACATAATCAGCCACCCTAAACTCAAACCGAACTTACAGAAATCTACCCTGAGCTCAAACCGCATTTATAGAAGAAATTTCAAGTTATTTATTAAGAAAAATGCATGTACGAGTAAACGGTGCTAGAAATAAAAAATATGTTACAACCTATTATCATATATCAACAGAATCTGTGCATTCCCAGTAATCACAAAAAACACGTAGAATCGCTCTATCTCCTCTAGTTTAGCCAGAAAACGCGTTTAAAGTTTTGCAAATGATTTTTTTAAATATCTAAAAATATTTTTGCTACAACCTATTATCATATATCGGCAGAATCTGTGCATTCCCAGTGATCACAAAAAACACGTAGAATCGCTCTATCTCTTCTAGTTTAGCCAGAAAACGCGTTTAAAGTTTTGCAAGTGATTTTTTCAAATATCTCCAAAAATATTTTTGCTACAGCCTATTATCATATATCGGCAGAATCTGTGCATTCCCAGTGATCACAAAAACACGTAGAATCGCTCTATCTCTTCTAGTTTAGCCAGAAAACGCGTTTAAAGTTTTGCAAATGATTTTTTTAAATATCTCCAAAAATATTTTTGCTACAGCCTATTATCATATATCGGCAGAATCTGTGAAGAAGAAATGACTTCATTTTAAGTAATTAGTTTTTATTTTTCAAAATATTTCTTGTATAACACAACACATATACTAAATACACACGCATATATAAAATATAACAGTTAAAATAGTTTTGCTCAAAAATAATTTTTTTGTTCATAAAATTTAGACCAACAAGTGATTTACTAGAAAAGTTTTTTTTATTATTATTGTTATACAAAAAAAAAAAAAAAAAACGAAAAAAAAAATCAACAACTTTTTAATTTAAAACAAATAAATTTTCATTTGAACATAGGGGAAAAGCTAAGCAAGCATATTTTTCTCTATTTTTCACTTCTATTTCCTGTTTTCTCTCAAATAATTTAAATAGATAAGAAATTTTAAGAGTATATGTATATATATAAAGTAATAAGTAAATTAAATAATTATTGTCAGTGCTCGTAAATTTTTAATAAAAAGATGAACCAACAATTTGTGTTACAAATATCGGATACATTTTATTACACAAGATATACAGAACTAATTTTGTGTTTTTAACATTAATTTTTAGTATTAATCCAGTTAGTTTTTTAAACTAAATTCTAAATTTTTTGATGATCTTGTCCGAGGGGTGAGGAAGGGCGCTTTGGGACCATAGTGCCAGTGATAATTTTATTTTTTATTAAAAGTTTCGAACATCTATACCATGTTTCTGAAATAAGTTCCTCTCTGTATGGATAAAATGTTGTACCTAGAAATATGCAATTTTTTGGAATTTATTAAAATACAATAGATATAAAAATAATAAATTCGAAATTATAATGAAGTAGCTATAATATAAAACTGAAAAAAAAACTTAATAACTCAAATGATTTATTTAAGATTTTATTAAAAAAAATATATAATTAATATTTCATTACAAATAAATTAATTTTTGAATTAAGTCAAATTGTTTAATACTAATCGGACAATACTTTAATTTACGCATTGACCACACCTGTATAATTCAATAGGCATATTAATGTTAAATTGGAATTTAGACAGACACCTTATGTATAAATTTTCTACGATTATTTCAAAATGTTTTATTTTACTTTTTTTAATTAACCCTGAATTTGTCGTCATATTTTTATTCACTTTAACATCCTCTTAAATAGCGAAATTTTTCTTTCATATTGACAAATGTACTAGCTTGTTCTGAGGCCAGGTAGCTAATATTTAATTTAACTATAATAGAAGATTGCTAAGTACTTTATAATTTATGCCATTCAATTTATTGATTTATATCGGTACGATTTTATAATTTTTAGTTTATCATCGCTTAAATACAATATCATTATAGATTATGTTATAAAAATGACCTCATATATGATGATAACAACACAAAATATATAATGCAATATATTTGATTATATCTAAGTATATATACCAATTATATATGGGGATAGGATTAGAAACTATATGTATATATAGATTTACAGATGTACACATGTTGACTTTTTAATGTTGTGTAGCCACAAATAACAGTTTCACATATTATATATATAATCTGTAAAATTGAAAGAGTATTAAAAAACTTTTTAATTCTTAAAAGTTTACACAAAAATATAACTTTTATCTATATACATATGTATTTCTCTTGGTAAATTAATAATATATATAGCTACTTGTATATACTATATACATACATAAATTATAGAGTATACTTAAATGTATACTCTACTATATTTGTATGTTGTTAATAGAATATAGATATTAACAAGTGTGTATACATTTATTTATACAAATTTGGAAAACCAAGAAAACCCACTAAGGATAACGCTAAATATTTTACTCTGGAGTGCTATTAAAAAAACTTACAAATAATTTTAAAAACTACTTTAAAGTTACTCATCAAGTTTATATTTTTGTTGTATAAAAAAATATTTTCCAATTACTGTTTTTAGTGTCTTTCTATGTATATATGTACGAGTATGTAGTATATTAAATATATAGCAGTATAACCAATATGAAAAAAATCAAACCAAAATGAATGGCAAATTTTTATGGTTACATACAAACATATGTAAGTAATAATTATTGTACTAACAGGATGCAATATAAGTAGTACAAACAAGTTAAAATTTTTTTTCTAGTTTCAGATCTTCATTACAAGGAATAACTAAATTTTTATAAAATACATAGATTAAACAAATATTTGTTTGAAAATTACACATCTGTACTTGAAAATAAACATGCCTAGATACATTTGTAAATAATAATGTACATAGCTACATTGATATTCGGAAGTATATTCAAATAAAGAACAGGAAATATACAAAACAGGATCAACGAATTTTAGTGTAAAACTTTTATTTTTAATATTTTTACAGAAAACCTTTCCATACAGCTATTAATTGACTATTTTGATTTAATTTAAGAAAATTAAAGAAAGCATACTGTAATTTGTGTACGATTAGAACTAACGGAACTTTGAAAATATTAATTTCAAATTCGCGAACTTTGTCGCAATAATACTAATCCGGATGAATTCCAGAATAGTTTTGAATTTGAACGTATTTAAGAGTTTATTGTTCCTTTTATCAAGTGTACATGTATATACAATGTTACTAAACTATTTATATACACATTTTGAATTGTACATACTAAAGTACAGTTACATATTATGTTTATAATCAAAACTATGTATATAGAAGAATAGCAACACATATGCCGTATAACATATTAACGCCATGACTTTGACTTTGATTAAAATGAAAGCTAATAATAAATGTCCAGACAAAACGTTTTATGGCTGGCCCTAATTGCAAAATAATATTCAAAAAAAAATTTTTTATTAATTATTTGTCACTGAGGGGTCTTTGATTATTCTAAAAGACAGTAAAAAACCAAGATACGTAGACATAAAGAGGACAAGTTATAATTAAAAAAGTAACTACCTGATATAAATATTTTAATTAACGTATATGTATAAGTAAATATGAAATTTTTATGAATATTTCTTTGATTAACGTTTGTGTTTTTTTCAGAAAATACTTATATGTATAAAAGAAATAACAATAATAAGTTTGCTAGTATAGTACGGTCATGGTTTCCTAACAACCCTTTAAATTTTTGAGTATATTCTATTATCCTGATTTAGTAGTTATGAATAAATCTAAGCATTTTCTAGAATTAACCAGGGGTTATGACAAATAGGTGCATTGACTCTGGTTAATTCTGGAAAATACTTAGGGTGTAATTAAAAACTTCTTTCCTAATTAAGGTTAAGAATGTCAACATACTGTATTCATTCACAATCGTTTTTTTAAAGCACAAATTTGGAATAGAACTCACCTCTCCTATTTTTATACGTTTTATTTGAGACAATGTGTTGGAATTTTTAAGACTTCCAATTGTCAGTTGGTAGTTTATCCTACCAAAACAATCACAAGGTCTCTCATTTATGCATTTGTACGAATGCTGTCTCTGGAATATAAGATAAGCATACAAAAAACTCTGTCAAATTCCCATGAGATCTCATCCATTTAAGTTTTCGAACAACAAACTGAAAAGAGAAAGTTAATTAGATTTCTATTAAGCTAAATGGAGACAATTGGTCTATCGCTATTCATATCACCCCATACTTACTTACCTGAGAGCTCGTTGTAGCATTAGACCTATACTGCCCAATATTTCTGGAAAAGGGCATTATCAAGTTAATCATTTAAGGTATATGAACCAGAACTTCGTTTAAAATAGTGGTGTACTTCAGATTTAGTCAGAAACACCAAACAGCCATCGTATTTTTTTTGGCAGCTACCTATGGAGTTATTCTCTTTAGATATTTAAATGCCATTTAGAGTTTCCTCTTGAAATTTTTTTTTGTTCGGAGCTTATCGTGCAACAAGCTTTGGAGGTCGTTGTTTCAGCTTTTTACCAGCAGGTCCCAGAATGTTCAGGTTTTCCAATGGTTTTAAGCCCTTTTGGTCCCCCTAAAGCACTTGTTGTTCTATGTGACGGATGTTGATTTCTGAGTGGAGGGACCTGCCCTGCCCTCCACATCTGTAAATTTTTTCCCCTTAACCCGCACTGTTATTTGGAAAAAGTTAAAGAAAATGCGGAACCCCACTTTCCGCAGACCATTCAAGCCTGAGTCATCTGTAGAGAAGGTGATGGAGGTGCCTCCGCTCATTTCCTTGTCAATTCTCAATATTCTCCAAGAACTAATTTGAAGCTCAGGATTTTGCTTTGCTATCCTACTGAGGAATTTTTCCTTGGAGAGATTGCGGGTAGTTTCATCCTTCGGGACATATGCGATGCAGACATGTGGTTTTGGTATGTCCCACCAGTCCAGCACCTTAATGTTACAGCCTTCCCAAGGCTTGATTTTACTGCAAACACTGGTTACCCAATCTTTTGTGCTCTTGTTGTTGCACGTCACAGATATCCAACCATCTCTTTCTGATGCTGCAGTGAACTGCGGATGTAAATCCTTTAGCTTGTCCATTTCATCCATTATGGCTACTTTAATTTTTCCCATTTGAAATTCAGATAATTTGTGATCAGGATGCAGACCATGAGCAATGGCTACTTTAGTTTGTGTTGTTGGATCTCGATGCGGTGGCTTTGTCGGATATGTTTGAGAGGTGTTCCTAGACGTCCTATTCTGAACACTGTCTTCCGTAGTCATTCTTTTTAAAATTCCTGAATTAGGTGCGATACCTTCCGACCTTTCTCTTTTTTGCGGATGGCTGGGTGTAGCCTCTGCCATACACTTCTTCAAATTTTCTAGTCTTTTTTTCTCATATTCACGGGCTTCTTGTGGAGACATTCCGTCTCTAATATATACAGCGATCCGTCTCTTGGAGGCACCAGAGAAATGATGTTTTCTGTTCCTGGTGTCCAATGGGTTCAATTCCTCTTTCTGTTTCTGAATAAATGGTTCCACAGGATCTTGTTTATCCTCTTCCATCGGAGGCACTGACGGGTTTTCAACTACGGTGCGAAGTGACTGCTCTCCTGTGTTAGTCGAAAATAGCATTGGTTCCGAAAACCCTGTAGCTTTGTTTATGTTATTTTTATTGTTTATTGGTTCCATTGTTGTTCCCACGAGTGGCGCGGGAAAGTAAAGTCACCCATGGCAGAGCCCGGCATACCATAGGAAGGCTAATTGGAAACTGGAGGGCGCCTGGTATCCAGAGCTCGCATACTAACGACTAAGCTCCCCCTTAGCCACGCAGTCCTCGGCATATGCTGTTCCACCTTGACTTGAGACGTCTGTCGTTCGCTCACGTATAAATATCAGGCTAAAATGTACAAAACAAGTGATCCATCGTGAGACATGACCACAGACACGGATTTAACTTTGCACATTTTAATCACCTTTCTATCTTCCGCGATTTCCAGGGTTCACCGCGTGGAGGTGACAGTACGATTTTGAACCCCAAATAAGTATAATTGTGTCTATATGTTTTAAATACAAACACAATTATAATTGTTTGTAATAAGTTGTAGTTTTTTTTCACATTTTTTTAAATTTCTTATTTTCTAAAAAAAAAAACTCTTAAAACAAATTATAAAGTACAGAATTATTCGATTAAACTACATTTTTGTAACTTACAAATTTAAATATTTAAGTGTTTTTTAGCATAAAATTTGTTATGAAAACATTAAAAAAAATGTTTGTTGCACTTAACCTAATTATGCATAAATTTATGTAAATGAAATTTAAATCAAAACATCATTAGTGGTATTAACTGCAATTGGTGGCAAATAAATGGCACGGATTTGACTTCGTAATCTTGCAATCTCTGAGTTTTCTCGCTCTATTTCTCGAATTAATTGTGAAAATTGTACCAATCCCTCACGATTCCCTGGAAACCCATGTTGTTTAATAACTTCCATTTGAATTTGCATTACTAATGGAAATACATATTGCATCTAAAGATATTTTATAAAAAGAATTATAAGATTTATTCCTTTCTCGATATAATTAAAATTTTACCATTAAAATCATTTCCTTCCCAGCCGATGCTTTAGCTTCTGACAATTTTTTAGAATTATCTGGTTGATTTACAGTCTTAATAATGTCAATTAAAATAGTTTTGGCAGTGTCATTTGTGAAATTTAACAAATAAGACATTTTTGAAAAATATTTACAATAATACTAAAGAATTTAGTGAAAAGAAAATTTTTCATGAAAGTAATGATAATGAATATAATATGATTATGATTGACCAAACAAACTGGTTTTGTTGTTATTTTTAATTTAATAATGTAAATGTCAATCAGAAGGTGGCACTTATTACATTTTTTTAGGGTTGCTACAAAATATAAACTTCTAGGTATGTTTTGTTTTTAGTACTAAATTATATTCTTTGAAAGAAATGCACAAATATTCAATTATCTCAGTCTTCTAAAATGTAGGGTAATAGTTTTACTGTGAATTTTTCTGAGAAAGTTTAATTTTGATTGTTTTGAGAATTGACACAAGTTCAAATGCCTACTAACAATTTCGAAATAAATTTCAAAATAGGTGATCGATCTAAGCGATTTTAGGATTACTAAAATTTAGAAAATTCTATTTCATAACACTTTTAATTATGAATGTACTTATTTATATGTATTTGCGTTCTGTTTAGCTTCTGTTTTATATTTATTCGAGATTATAGTGAAAATAATTTCATTCATTCCAAATTAATTTGAAATTATCATAAGTATTAGAAAATTTTATGTTTTTGAGTCAGAAATTAAGCAATTAATACTCAAAAAAATTTTAATGATTTCTAGTAAAGATTTTTTTATGATATTCAATTTTCATAACTAAGACTAACTTATTTGTGTTATTGTGCCATATGTACATATTTTGTCTTCCATTTGCAGTATCACTGAATTTAATAAATATTTACTTCAAATGAGTGTCGTGGCGAAAAAATTTAGAACTCTTACTAAAAATTTATTAAAATTTCGAATTAAAATTAGATATTCAATCAAAATGAATAAAAAAACGTATAAATCTAGGAGAAACAATTGAAGAACTGTAAAAAAACTCAATCTTTAATAAATTTTTAAAGAAACCAAAAATGTTTTATGTTAACTGGGATCAATAAAGTACTAAAAATTTAAAGTACAAAAAACAATAACAAAAATGTATTTGTCATTTGGAAATGTCATGTTTGACATATTACTACTTTTCGTTTTTTTTTTTTAAGTTTCGATTGACCGATAGAGAGAAGGTCGCCTTTTAAGTAATATAGTTCGAAATCTTCACTGAAATTAAAATTGAAAATTTGTAGGCTTAGTGTAACATTGCTTAACATTTAAGAAATTTGTTAGTTACTTTGTAAATTGTAAACGATATTGGTATTTATATAATAAAAAATGTTACGAACATTAACTCGGAATCAGGTGCTTTTATGTGGAGCCCTTGCAAAGGGTAACCGTTCTAAAAGTGCTGTTCGTTGTTTGAGTATTTCGGCCGTAAATAAATTCCAACAATTTAAGTAAGTTTTTAAATTTTTATTGGATTAAATAGGTATGGTGATTTTCAAATTAGAAGAATTGATTCGTAATTAGAGGTTATGCTGTTGTGTTGTGTAATCATTTGTAGTTAAGTAGGTAGTTGAGAAATTGTAAAATATACATTGCACAAAAAATAAACATGTGTTAACGTCATAGCGTAGCATATTGATGAGCTGATTAAATTTAAAAACTGTTGTCTATGTATTTGAATATCAACTGATCAACATATAAAATATGCATGAATTTAATTACCCAACATCCAATTAAAATTGTTATCAGTACATTACTAAAACAATGACATTCATAAAGTTTATTTATACATAGCTATTTCAATTTTACTTTTTTTTTTATAGAACTGCATCCAGAACTACTGCCACAATAAAACCAACAGTATGGAGTACAAATTATGTTCGCTGTTATGCCGATTTACCGTCTCACATTAAAGTAAATTTGCCAGCACTTTCACCAACCATGGAACAAGGTACAATTGTTAGTTGGGAGAAAAAAGAGGGAGATAAATTAAATGAAGGTATTTAAGTTAACTAATTGATTGTAATTTATATTATTGATATCTCGAAAATAATTTTAGGTGACCTTCTTGCTGAAATTGAAACTGATAAAGCAACAATGGGATTCGAAACCCCAGAGGAGGGTTATTTAGCAAAAATTTTAATACCAGCTGGTCAGAAAGATGTAAAAGTAGGAAAATTAGTTTGTATTATAGTTGAAAGTCAGGATGACGTTGCCGCTTTTAAAGATTTTAAAGATGATGGTGCTGCAGCACCTGCTCCAGCAGCTCCTAAGCCCGCTGCGGCAGCTCCGCCACCACCACCAGCCGCAGCGGCAGCCCCTCCCCCACCTCCACCACCATCTGCTCCAAGAGCCCAGACTGCGGTTGAACAACGTGGTGATAGGGTTTACGCAAGTCCTATGGCCAAAAGGTTGGCTGAAGTTCAACAAATAAGATTGGAAGGTTCGCTATATAGCTTTTAAAGATATTTAAATATTGCGTGCTACTAACAAAAAATTGTGTGATTTTTTTTTTTGTTTGATTTACTAAAGGAAAAGGAAGTGGTATCTTCGGCTCTATTAAATCTACTGATCTTGCAGGAATGGCAGCCGCACCTGCTGCTGCTGCAGCCGCTGCACCTAAACCGGTAGCTCCAGCAGGCGGTTATATTGATATTCCGGTTTCAAATATTCGTGGAGTTATTGCTAAAAGATTACTTGAATCAAAACAAACAATTCCACATTACTATGTATCTGTGGAATGCAATGTTGATAAGGTAACTTTTTTAAAACTATTTTAATTCATTTCTTTAATTCAAAATCAACTTAATAGCTTTTGAAATTAAGAGAAAAAATAAATAAAAAATATGAGAAGAAAGGTGTAAGAGTATCAGTAAATGACTTCCTTATTAAAGCTATAGCTGCAGCATGTGTCAGAGTACCCGAAGTAAATTCCTACTGGATGGACACTGTAATTAGACAGTAAATTTAAATAAAATTTTTTATTATAAAATTTTTATAAAATTAATTTTTTTTTTTTAGATTCTCAAATGTTGATGTTTCGGTAGCAGTTTCAACTGATCGCGGTTTAATAACCCCAATAATATTTAATGCAGATCGTAAAGGAGTTATAGATATTGCTTCAGAGGTAAAAGCTTTGGCTGCTAAAGCTAGAGATAATAAATTACAGCCTCATGAATTCCAAGGTGGCACTATAAGCCTTTCAAATTTAGGAATGTTTGGTAAGCTCGTTTATATTCTTTCCAATAACTATATCATTATTTATATCAATAATTTCAATAGGTGTTACAAACTTCTGTGCTGTAATTAATCCACCACAATCATGCATTTTAGCTGTTGGTACAACCTCTAAAAAATTAGTTTCTGATCCTGATAACATTAAAGGGTACAAAGAATATTACTCATAAGCATATTTTTGAAATAAATTTAAAATACTTTTTTTTAAATAATTTTAGTGTTAAGGAAGTGAATGTAATGAACGTTACATTAAGCGCTGATCACCGAACTGTAGATGGTGCTGTTGCAGCTGAATGGTTACAATATTTCAGAAGCGTTGTTGAAGATCCAGCAAATATGTTTTTATAAAACCTTATTTAAAGTGTAATTGAAATATATAAGATATATTTTAAATACAAAACAATCAATTTGGAATACTAAAAGAATATAAATTAGCTGGCTGTCCCAAATATTGTATAAATGTTATATAAAAACATAAGATCAAGTTTATTAAGTGCAAAATTAAATATTATATTATTATTTAAAAAAAAAAACATCATCAATTGTTATATTAATGATTTTTTGTTCATTTCTTATTTATTTTTTTTGATTTTGTAAAAAAAGTAATCTAGATTTTGTTTCTTGAAAAACTTTAAAATAAATATATTTTCTTACCATATTCTTATACCATCACATGATATTAAAAATTTGTAAAAAATGTTCTTACATAAGTTTTGTTAAGATCAAAAGTTTAAAAACATTTAATTTATTTCTTGTGTATATTACGGATATGGTTATAATTACTTAGATAAATATTTTTACCTTGTAAAAATTAAATAAATATGAATTTTAATTAAATAAAAATGGAAATCGAGTCTCTGTATTACATTTTTCGAATTTAGACCATCATTATGCTTGTAAAATAGTTAACATGAAATTTAATAAAAATTATATTTCATTGGTATTTTATTTTATGAGTTTCTTATTTTATATTTTATTAATTAAATTGTATATTATTTTTATTATATGTTCCGTAAATATATGAAAACAAGAAGAGAAGGGAGGGAAATTGGAGAAAAATTGTGAATTTTCAAAAAAAATTTTATATTAAGTAGGAGCACTATATGACTAATGTCGCTATATATCAGAATAATTTTAATTTAAATTTTAGTTATAATTTTATTATTTAATTCAGATTTCATTTGAATTGAGGAAAAGTTAAGAGAGTGCGACGTTAAGTTTAAGCCGAATTAATAAAAAAAATCACATTTGCAAAATAAATTTTAAAATTGATCATCTGATTCTAAACATAAAAGTTGATCATCTGATTCTAAACATTAAAGCCGATCATCTAAGCCGACATGTTCCGCTATAATTAATTAGAATTTATAATCCACAATTGGATTTAATATGAAATGTTTAAAAAAACACAAAATTATCGTAACCAATTTTCATTTTATTATTATTTTTATTTATAAATTATTTTTAAATAATCTAATAATTACATTTTCTCTAATAATTTTTTATTTTATTTAATTTTCTTTTTTATTTTCTTAATTCTCAATTGTATTTTATTAATATTTCTTTTTTCTCAATAATAATCAGAAAGAAACGGGGAAAAATTAAAGAAATTAAAAACTATCTACAAAAGATAATATTAAAGGATGAATAAAAAAAAAAGTAATGTATGTATGCATTAAAAAATAATTTATCCAATGTTAATTAATAATTTTAGTTAATTTAACAATTTTTGTTTAGATCGTTTTTTTCATTTTAATCAAATTGGGGAATTTTCTTTAGAATTACGAAATGTAAACAGTTGAACACATTAATTTTATTCAATTTTAAAAGAATAAAATTTTGTAAATATTATCAAAATGGTATGTTTTTTTTTTCCTTTTCAATATCACTAATTTATAAAACGCATAATATTTATTATTTAATTTTTTACAATAATATTATAGGGGCCTTATTTATTTTAATATAGTAAAATTTTATTGATGATTTTTTTCAATCATTTTCTGAACTGAACTGAAAAATCTTATTAATATTAAAATGCTTTTTCTATTAAAACACAATTTCATTAATCATTATTTGTTATCCAATTATATTCAATTATGTAAACAGATTCTTACGAAATTATTACTATTTTTTAATTGAATTAATAAAATTGATATATGTAGTTTTAAAATTAAAATGGTTACTACAAAAATAAAAATTTCAATAATGCTAAACAATAAAGAATAATAATAATAAAATAAAGTTTAAACTAATCTAACAAATTAGTAAATCAAGTAATAATGATAATTGAAGATTTCTATTTTCACTTAAAAAAAATTTAATATTTATAATAAATATAAATTAAACTTAAAATATAATTGATTATATTACAAACAAATATTTGTTATAATTTTAAAGAGGGCTGGGGGGGCAGGGAGGGAACAATTCAAATGAATCATTTCAATTAAACAAATAATGATGAATTTATATTTAAAAAAAAAAAAATTATCAAAATAAAATAAAGTTAATATCACTTAAATTAGGTACAACATTTTTTTTTTTGTGTAAAAAGAAATATATAATCAATTTTGAATTTATTCGTGTACAATTTAAAATATTTAATCGGGATTATACAAAAACAATTTAAAAAAAAAGTTTCTTTTATTTTCCTTTTCGAATTAAATTTAAAAATAAAAAAAAACAAATGATAACAAAAATGATTTTAAGAAATTTCCTTTACAAAATAATTTTTGTTTTTTAAATATTTATTATCATAATAAAAGAGATTAAAATTTAAATAAACTAATTTTATGCTTATATAATATTATCAAAAAAAAAAAATTTTTTATATTACAATCGTTTGTAATTTGTTTTTAATATTGTATTCTATTGAATTGAAAATTAAATCAAAACTTAATATAAAAACTAAATACAATTTTACAATTTGATATGGTAAGGTTTTCAACGTTATCAGCAATCTTAATTAATTTTTTTTTAAATAAAATAATATTGGTTATATATTGGAAAAATTGATACGGTTTAAAAATTTGAATGATCAATAATTTGTGATTAAAATATAATTAAATTTTAAATATTATTAACTAAAATTATTAATTAACTTTGAAAAATAAAATAAAAGTAATCAAAAATAAATCATTGTATGTATATATGTATATATAAATATAAAAAGAAAATTAATATATATTCATTTACAAATAATATATATTAAAAAAAAACCAACAATTTTAAATTTGTATTATAAAATTCAACAAGATTAATTTTACTTTATAAATCAGCATTATTTTTACTATTTGATTTTTTTTTTTTTTGTAAATTATAAGAATTGTAAGTACAAATTTTGTTTTTAGTAGAAAGTGCAATTATTTTTGTTTTTTTTTTTTCATTTTTTTTTTCATTTTGCTTTTCACAAATTCAGTAAAAAAATACTTTGGCTATTATAAAAATTATTAAGATTTTTTTTTTCTCATAGTAAATGCCTTTTGTGTTTTTTTTTTTTTTATAATTATTAAGTGATCTTATTTTTGGCATGCTTTCTTTTTTGTTTAATTTTATTTTTTCTTTTTAAATAAATCTTTTATTTTTAGGAATACACAACTCAAAAAAAGTGTTATTTTTATTTATTTTTTTGTTTTTGTTTTTCTAAATCTTTAATAATCAATTAATTCAATTAAATCTTATTCTAGTTAAATAAAAAATTCAATATTTAAAAAAAAAAAAATCTTAGTTGACTAATAATTTTCCAAAAAAATTTTCTACTTTAAGAAAGAAATTTTTTTAATTATTTAGAATAATTAAAAATTGATACATGATTGAAAAAAAAAAAAAAAAAGAAATTATCTTTTTTTAGATGCTCGTTATTTATATAAAAATAAAAAATAAATTTTAATAAAATAAAAACTGATAAAGAAAATCCTTTTTCTTTTAAAAAGAACTTATGTTTTTTTTGTGAAATAATTAAACCATATAAAAAATCAGTTTTTATTGGTGTTTTTTTAAGTTTATGGGTTTTTTCTTCGTATATATTGCTATTATTTTATTTATTATGATTGAGAGTTGAAATTGTGGTTTTTGTTACAAATTTTTTAATTAATATTAAATTTCAAAAATAAAAAAAAGATTTTGAAAAAGCTTCGATTTTAAATTTAATTTTCAAAATAAAATTTATTTTTTTATTTATGTTTGAAATTTTCTCTTTTTTTTTTTTTTTTTAATTGACTTAGGCATCTAAGTCATTAACGAATAAAACTTCACGATTTTTTAAACCGGCTTCATGGAGTGATTGTTTCTGATAATTTTGTGTTGATTCTTTGGTGTATAGGACACGTTTTGGAAAATTTGTTGTAATTTCAAATGTATCGGGCGATGATGGATGACAAAATATATAATAATAAACATCCTAAAAAAAAAAAAAAAAAAATAGTTTTATATAATACAAAAAGTGAAAAAAAAAAAAAGAAATATGCAATAACGTATTTACAATTAAAGAATCTGTATTTAAAAATCTCCTTTCAATTCTAGCTCCATTTGGTAATTTAAAGACAACATGAATAGCATCAGGTGAATCTTTTGGTGGTTCTGAAGGCACACGTGTAGCTAATTCAATTTTAAGTCTTGCAATTTCCTAAATTATATAATTAAAATTAAAATTAAATTTTATATTAATAATAAATTTTTTGTTTAAAGATTATTTACATCTTTCTTTTCTTGTTCAGCTCTAATTCTAGCCTCTTCAGCTTCTTGTGCTTTTCTACATTCTTCTTTTTCTTGTTCTTTTCGACGTTCTTTCTCTTGATCAGCTTTTAAACTTAATTCATATGCTTCATCTTGTTGTTGTCTTAATGTTTGTGTTAAATTTCTTTCTAAGCGTTCTACTCTTGCTTGTGTTAACCAAACTTCATTATCATTGACAACTACACGCAGTCTTCTCAGTAATTCCTCTGGTGAACAATAACCTTCCATTCTACCCATTATTATCATTTTATTGGATCTAAGGCCGACTAATACCAATAAAGGATAAGTTTTTGCATTAATAGAATGTGAAACTCTATATCCTTCTGGTGATGAAACATCACAACCCCAAAATAGCATATTTCGATTAATATATTCAATAACATCTCTATTTGATAATGTTTCATTACAAAATCGCTGGACTTCTGTACCTGTTTGATTTGTTTCTGAATGGAGGTATACAAGGAGGAACCTTATTTCATGTTTTGCATCATTTAAAGCTTGAGCATATGTGCCTTGATAGAATACAGCATGATCTGGATATTTTTCGTTGTATGTTTGTATAAATTTCATAACATCACCTAAAGGATCTGTAACTATACGTTCTCGGCCCCCAAAAATTGCTTTAAAAAAGACTGAAATAACTGAAGAAACAGTTGAATAACAAAATTGAAATACACAATTTACTATATAGCCTAAAAATCCTGTAAAGCTATTTGGAATAGGTGAACCATTACTAAATCCTGGCAAACCGGATTGTGCTGAGAATACATGTTGTAGAAAGCGATCATTAACAACTTGTGGTGCTCTTATATCTGTATTAGCTGCATACATAGAAGGTCGGCCTTCTCTTATATTTAATTGTTCTTGTATAGCAACCTTAAATAAATTAAATATTATGTAATATAATTTTTATGACACATTGACAAAATAACATGAAGAAAATAATCAATTTCTTTTTAGAACAGATTTTCAAAGAAAACATAAATTTCATAGTCTTACTTCAAGATCCCATTGATGTCTGATTAATATATCTCTGCATATGTTTATATCTTCAATCCCAGTAACATCTTGAAATTGGAGAACCGTATCCGTTTGTTCACTTGTCAGACCATTGTCTGCCTCCATATTTGATTATCTCCCAACAAATTTGTGCCGTTTTCTTTTTCTTCTCTTTTTAGCTATTACTCAGCAAAATTGAGAAGATAAATCTGATGTGGATGATAGCTCAATACTATAGTATTTTAAATAAAATATTGTTCAAATTTATATTAAGAATGCAAATGATAATTAAAAAATGTATGTGAAGAAATGATAAATTTTTATTTTTTTATATTTCTATTTTCTTATAGGTTTCGTCAAACGTTTATTAAAAACTTTCTCCAATTAGATTTTTTTGTTTTCGATAATTAAAAACACAAATATATATTTGATATTAAAATAATACTTAAATATATAATTAATTTTTATGATATAATTTTTTAGTTTTTCATTTTAATATTTTATTAAACAAATAATTTATAACATAAAATAAAAATGTAAAATTTTCTTTTGTTTTATTGACAGTCACTAAAAAATTTTAATATTTTTTGAGTGACAATTGACATTTATTGTCATTTTGATATTTCTTCGAAATGAAAAACGTAAACACAACTAATAGCGCAAGCGTTTTCAAAAATATCTATGTTGCGACATGATGTATGAATTTTCAATCCTGAAGCGAAATGAATTATTTAACATTTCTACAAATATCATAGCATTATAATAAAGAATATAATACTATGCCCATGAGTGAGGTGTTCAAAAAAAGATGCTACTCTAGTTGCATTTAATAATTTAGTTCTAATAATTTTGATAAAAAAAAATACGCAGACACAGGAATAAATTGTCGTTTCATAAATATTCCACAAAATCAATTTTATTAAATATCGATTTTTATACTACATTAAGGTTTTTTAAGGACATTAAGGATTTTGTACTATTTTTTAGGTTGTACTCTTTTAAATTAAAAAAAATTAATACTCACTAACGCCCTTCAAAAAAGTAACTCGTGGGTAATTACAAAAATTTTTTTCTGTATACCACAATAAACCATACACACAATACGACTAATTTCTCAACTTAAAAATTTTAGTTGATTACAGTAAATGTACAAGTGGAATTAGCTATATTTGACACAATTCTACAAATATATGTGTACATAAAAATGCAAATAAAATAATATTCTTATCAAAATTCGAGCAAATCATTGATCAAGCTTCAGCTTTTCAGCGTAGAAAAGGGTTATGTGCAAACATATCTTCACTTTAACCTAAACGCAGCTTTATATATAATTGCCAAATGGACATTTAACTGTCAAAAACATGTTTGATTTGACGGTATTTGAATAAACAAAACAAAAGTTAAAAGTCATTGAAATTGCATATGAAATTGAAATTTTATTAAAAAAGAGTTGTCGAAATTTTTTTAAGAAAAACACCTTTTGGTAATAATCAATTTTATATGAAAAATAAATAAACAGACATGTCATCTCAAGGATTTTTTGGTTGGGATTTACTATATAGAACTATACAATCTGACATTAAATCTGAAGCAGATGTTATCGTAGCTATTATACATTGGTATCTTACAAAAAATGAATCTTTCAAATGTTTAGGAATAGGAGATGATAAAACTCTAAGCACAGATGATGAAGGATCTGAGCTTTTACCAGTTGGATGGAATGAAAATGAAAATTCGTTTGCTTTAAGATATGTTTTTAATAAAGAATTATTTATCCTTCTGGGTGCTTTGACTGAAGGTTTACTTGTAGTAAACTTATTAAATGTGGATACCAAAAAAGCTTCTAATTTATCGGTTAGTACTAGTGAAACGGTTAAAAGTTTGGATGGAAATATTAAAACAATGATTCCGGAAATATCAGAGCTAACAGATCGAATAAAAAATGAATTAGTTAATCCAGTTTTTTCAGGTGCGACAACTGAACAAACAACTCAAACTTCACCAAACAATTCAAGAAGATCATCAAATAGTCGTATTCCTGAATCGGGAATACTTCCACATCGAGGTATTCAAGGTCGTATGCCAGGAATAGATCCATTACGTGATATTGGTAGAGGTGATTTGGACCCTCTTAATAGGGGTGGTGGTGGAATGTTGTTTCCAGGACCAGGTATCCCAGGATGTCCTTTAGGAAATATGCCTCCGTTTCCAGGAGGTAGAATGGGATTTATACCACCTCCACCGGGTGCCAGATTTGATCCATTTGGACCACCAGGAGCAGGAAATCCTAATCCAAATCCTGATCATTTTAGGCCACCGCCAGATTTCGACGACATGTATATGTAATATACATGAAATATCTCACGATTTGAAATATCTAAGTACCAAAATTTAATATTTTATAATCTGTATTTAATAGAATCGAAAAAATATTTTAATAAAAATATGTTTTCAAAATAAGAAAATCTATATATGTATGTATGTATGTAGTTTAAAAATTTTATTTTTGTTTGTGGACTGTTTTATTTAATCAAGAAAATATTCTTGCAAATGTGTCTAATTAATTATGATTTGTGTAGGTAGGTAGGTGCGCATTAGTTTCAAAATTTTTTGTCTTGTGAATTCTTTAAATTCGTATTTTATTTGTTTTTTTGTTCACATAATTATTTTCTTAACATTTAGCTAAAATATATTTTAAAAGGAAGAATTGATAGTTTCGGTTAACCACAAACATTAATTTAGTCTAAATGACCTAAAGAATTTTTTCATATCAAATTATTTATTTGGGTTTGCAATCTATGTTTTTGTAAACATTACTTTTGGGCGGATGTATTTATTTTCTTAACACGTCAGACGATTTAAATCATTTTAGTAATTTTTTTTTGATTCATATTCATAAGAATCAATTAGCAACAAGCTTCCAAAAGGGGTTGAAAAAAAGTGATTCAGAAACTATTTAATTTTATGAATGGAACTCAATAGGGGGTCTTACAGAAAAAAAAGTTTTAGTGAATACCTGTTTTATATGTACCATGTCCATGTATAATTCAATAATTTTACTGTTTATTATTTATTATTAATATTTAGCTGTATTTACTTGAATTCAGGAAGTTGTGGAGAATTTATGTTTTTCATTAACCACATGTAATGATTAATCACAATATAGTTGAGGATGGATAAAAGAAGAATTCTATTAGTGAGGTAATTTTATAACTTACTTAAATTTTCTGTAATTGAAATTTAAGCTATTGTCATTACGAGTTTTATATTTACATAATGTTCATGATTATATAGTTTACGTTTCAGAATTTATGATAGAAGAATATTGTAGTATCTATCGAGTGCTTATGGGGAAAACGCTCTAATCACATTTTAAAAGTTTTGAAATAATTTAGGGAAAAAACTCGGAGACAATGAAAAAATAATATTCGATAGTAAGTGCTTGGAAAGAAATTACAATTTGGATATAATGAATAGCAGATTCATTACAAACGTCTAGAGTGAAGATTGAAAAAAATAAATTTTATGGAGGAAAGCACTTTATTTCTCAAGATATATTAGAGTAAATTATTGCTAGTAATTACAATTTGGTAGGATTTTTTCTATTAATTGAAAAATATTTCAAAATTTTTTCTTTGGGTAGAGGAGTTTTTCCATGAGCCCTCGCTATGTATTACAAAATTGTATCTATTATTATAAATGATACGAGTATAATTCTGTATTTTACTATTTGGTCTTAAAATTTTTTCCTGTAACACAAACATTTGGTTTGATTCGATATTGTCCGATAAGAACTTCTATTAAATTTTTTAATTCGAAATAAAATGCATAAATTCAGGCGAACTAAATTTGATTTTTTAATATCCATATTTATATTATGCCCTAGTGGCCAAGTACGTTATATTATTCGTTGAGAAACCGTTTTTCAGTTTTCATTATTAAGGTACTTAATTCGAATTTGAACGAAAATCTACATTTAAATTTAAAATTCTGGTTTTTTAGCTACTTATGTATGTATCATAATATTATACATATGAAAAATAATTATATGAGGTCATAGTTCTTAGTTTTGAAATGTTTAAGAAGTTTTTTCATAGAAGATCTTTTTTGTTCATATGGATCGCAGGCCATAATGCCATTATATGTTTCAATTTGTACTTTTTTTTCTTCTATATTGCTGATGTAGAATAAAGTACAAAAATATTATACTATTCAGTTTCTACGAAAATGCAGAATTTGGCCAGTTACTACGTAAGCATAGAAGAAAAGAGCAACCGAAGAAAAGCAGAAAGAGCTCATTGGTTGTGTATGCACATCAAACTAATGTTACCAAATTTTTGTTTTTCCGGATTGTTTTTAAAAAATGTGCCACTTTTGGTATTTTAATGTGCATAGTTTTATTTTGTTGTAAAATGAGGTATTTTTTTCTTATTATGTTTAAAATTTTTTCGTACTTTCGGGAATCATACTGCAGTATAACTTTTATTGCTGCATTTTGGAAGTCACGGTATAAAAAAATTTTTATTAATGCAATATGGCACAAACATAACGTAATGAATATGCAATTTTTTTTTTTGACTATATTCTATAAAAGCAAAATAGATCATATTATGCTTCAACTGCGCTATGAACTAATGATAATTGAATCGCAGCGTTTGTGAATATAAATGTAGCGTAATTTTCATTATTTATTGCGATATACTGTGTTTATGAAAGAGTCTATATACAGTAAGTTGACAGTTTTAACATAATTAAAATAAGACGAAAATTAATTAGGAATTTAATGATTTTATACGAGTATGCATTTAAAATCTCAAATATCTCATATATTCTTAAATATATATTAATTTTGTATGGGTATAAGAAAAAATAAAAAAAAGCATTCTTAAGGCAAAATTTTATAGTAACAAATAGCAAAAAAATCTCCATTTTATTTTCTTTTTAACCATCTTAAACTTACAAATCTTTTAAATCGTAATTCAAAATTTACTATCATTATTTTATTAAATCACGTACATATTCAACATTTATACTATTATTAAAAATGTTCAAATGAAAAAGAGAGAAAAAAAAAATAAAAAAATAAAAAATTTAAATACAATGCACCTGATTTGGTAAATTTAGTTGTTAGGGCGTGTGTAAAAAAACGAACAATTCTTCTTTTATATCATAAGTATGTATAAATATTTTTCATATTTATGTACAATATATTATGATTTTTATTCCTTTCATGAGTAACTTGCGGTTTTACTCTTTACGATAAGCACTTATTCTTATATAAGACGGCTACATATGACTACATCACAGTATATCAATAACGATCATATACATATATATATAATAATTATTATCGTATATTGTGATGAGCATATTATTGTTATATTGCAATGGCTGTCTACAAAATATTCACATTATAGTATATACGAGGGCTGTCCCAGAATTAAGTTAACGACGTACGGCCACGTTTAAACTGTGCTACCCAATTTTTAATCATTGCATATGTGGGATCAGACTCCCCTAGTGTAGAATCTAGTTCACTTTTGATACCGGCTGGACTAAGACCTTTCAAATAAAAATATTGAATGACATAACGATGACCAATTTTATCCATATTAAAAATTTACTGAAAAAAGCTTCACTATTAATAGTCGGTAATCTGAAAAGAAAAAAAAAAAAAAATAACAGTGTGACAGTTAATCCTTAAAATGATAGGGCTTTCTGCCAGGCTTATTTTTTTTTTTTCAAAATTTTTGTGTTTTCTTGGTTAGGCTACTTAATTCTGGGACAGTTCTCGTATAAATGAAGATATTTTAATATAATATGTAATATAATCATGTTATATACACATAATATAATGGTTACGTATTGAATTAAACATACTTACTTGTATAATATGAATTATACCAAAAATCATACAAAATATCTTGAAAAATTAAATGACTCAAAACTCTTCAAAACCATTGTATAATTACAGACGAGTCGTCATTGGTTAAAAATTTTTTATATACGAGTACATACTGTGAAGAAATCACTGTGACATAGGAGTGAATATTCCCTAAATATATAATAATAATTATTATGACATGCAGAATATATACATATATACATAATATGTATATACTATAACTACATAATATATAAAAAATAAAATTTATTAAAAACAATTTAATAATATGGTATTGTGGTGCAGTATACCGAGAACTAAAGCAAACACAACGCCACAGAAACAAAAAACACAAAACAAAAACAAAGAAGAAAAATGTAACACAATATGACGTTTTGATCAATTAGGAGGCGATAAGGCAAATAATAATCATTCCATAAACGTTTCAATTCTTTTCATTTTAATTTTCTTATTTTAGTCTCATTGTTTTCTTAAAAAAAAAGAGCTAAATATTATTACCGATATTATAATATGAATAGGAGACTAATAATACAAATAATAATAATAATAATAGTGGTTTAAAATTTTTATACTTGAGAAAAACAAAATAAAATTCTCATCAACATATTATACATATATATATATAAAGGTAAATTACCACACCTTAGGTTACCTTTAATGCATTTCTTATCATCACTACACTTTTTTTTTTTTTGTAAGTTCAGAATGTGAGGAGAAAAAAAAAGACAAAATCAAGACAGCGCACATAGCTTTTAATTTTAACCGAAGGCTAAATAATTCTTAACAGAAAAAAAAAAAAGAGTCCAATTGGATTTCGAATGTTGAGAGAAAAAAAACAAAACTACTAACAAAAAACAAAAAAAAAAGAGGAGACGCCAATTATTAATATAGGAAATGTAATGGTATATTCATCATTGTAGGGCAGGTATATTTCAAACCAAATACAACAGGTATTGTGCCAATATTTTGAGTTCACATATTTTATTATTTTAGTTTTACATTAATTCTTTTATGATGGTTTTAATGGATCAGAACAAGTGAATTATGTGATTATGTCTTTTAATTGTTTTAAAATGAAAGGTAAAAAAATCTTTATGTATATATACAAACATACATATCTACCCATTTATTCGATATTGACTTTTGAACTTTAATGGGGGTATATGCAAAAGAATATGCTTGATATATTATGTTGGTCGTAAACTTTCGAGTACAATAATAAAAGGAAGAATTATTTCATTTTCAAAAAGAAGAATGAAAAGCACACACCTTAGAATTTTTAGTCACCATCATTCTACATAACGTACATAGATTCAGATTTAATTTTAACATATTATGAAATATGTAAGCAATGTGATTGCGGAATCTTTAAAGTTATTGTAATTGTGGAAATTTTTGGTTTCTTGTTTTTATTTCTAAATTAGCATAAACTTAAACGGAAATGGGTACCTATGTAATAAATAAATATGTAGTTACAGAATACTTATTGAGAAATTTAAGGTTAAAAAAAAAACAAGGGCCAAAAATATTTTTAATTCCATAATATTTTTGACCTCGT